ACTATTGGGAGGCAGTGGAAATTGTAGGAGGTGGGCCTCGGTGGAGGAAGTAGGTCACTTGCATCATATCCCAGGAAGAGCATATCTTAACCCCAGCCCCTTTCTTCTCCTCTCTCCTCTCCACTTCTCTGCCCCCACATTCCCAGCCAACATCTTGAGGTTGTGCCTTCACAAAGGCCCATAGCAATAGGGCCAACTGACCGTGGACTGAAACGTCTGAAACCATGAGCTAAAATAAATTTTCTTCCTTTTAAGTTGTTTACCTCCAGTATTTTGTCACAGTAACAAAAAGCTAACTAACACAGCAGCCCTGCAGTCACTAAAACTCATTTTGGACTTCTGTCTCCAAAATTAAGATAATATGGTAACTTGTTTCAGCAGCAATAGGAGATAAATATACTGTGTATGGGGGTACTGGAGAGGGGGAAAGATGGATGGTATTTGAAGTAAGAACAGGGGAGGAGAGTGGGGGAGAACAGAAGATAATGAAGCATTGATGTGGGACTTAGTGAGGTTGGGATGCCTGTGACGCATTCCACTGGACAATGGCCATATGGATCTGGTCCTCAGGAGAGAAGCTGCCTCAGAGAGAAGGATGTTAAGTTATGTTCAAACATTCTGTGATTGAAGCTAACAGAATGAGAAGGCGCATTCACCAAAATAACAACAGCAGCAGTTAGGAGAAAGAAAGATCTAGAACAAAATCCAAGGAATTAAAAAAAAAACAACCCACATGGATCATGGATCATACAAAGGGGAGTGGCCTGAGGGAAAGGGGAAACACAAGGCTTATGGGTCAAGGAAGTTAGAGGAGGAGTAAGTTTCAAGGAAGAAAGTTTTAAAAAGGAAACACCAGGGGCTGGAGTTGTAGCTCAGTGGTAGAGTGCTCACCTAGCACAGGTGAGACCCTGGGTTCAATTCTCAGCACCATATAATTTATATAAATAAATTAATTAAATAAATAAAGGTCCATTGACAACTTGAAAAAAAAAAAAAAGAAAGAAAAAGAAACCATTAACAGTGTCCAATGTTCCTGACAGGTGAAGAAAGAAGTGGTTGAGTGGTTGACACTCTGGGGTTGTGGCTCAGTGATTGAATACTTGCCTCGAATGTGTGAAGCACTAGGTTCAATCCTCAGCACCACATAAAAATAAATAAACAAAATAAAGGTATTTGTTCATCTACAACTAAAAAAAAATTTTAAAAACTCCAACTCCTCTGTATGATTAGACATGTTTTGAAGTATTTAAATGAGCAAGGAGGAATGAATAAGAGCCAGAATTTGAAGCCAGACTATGTGGGATCGAATGAAGATTCTATCACTCACTAGTGGTGTGACCTTGGTCAAGTTGTTTCACTTTTATATGCACCAGTTGGTAAAATCATGTGATTACTGTGAGGGTTTTCTGAATAAATATATTACAAATTGCAGTGAGCCTTGCCTGGCTCATGGTGAGTCCTATATAAATGTTATTTGTTATTATTATTGCCCAGTGTAATGTGTTTATTTTCTTATTTAAGAATAAACAATTCTGTCAAAGGAAATACAAGAAAAAACATTATGAGGAAGGTAAATGAAGCAGAAGAAAGTAGTTTGTGAGAAAAAGTAGTGAATATATGAGTTGGACATAAAGAGGAAAGAGGAAAGGTTGGAAGGACCAAGTAGGCATCATTTTTTTTTTTTTTTGGTACCCAGGATTGAACACAGGGGTGCTTAACCACTGAGCCACGTCCTCAGCTTTTACTTTTTGAAACAGGGTCTCACGAAGTTGCTTAGGGCCTCGCAAAGTTGATGAAGCTGGCTTTGTGATCCTCCTGCCTCAGCCTCCCAAGCAGCTGAGATTACAGGCATGCGCCACTGAACCTGGCCAAATATTCTTTTTTTTTTTTTTAAAAAAAGCTAATTCTCCAAGATTTACCATTAGTCTTGTTTTTTTTAAAAATATTTTATTTTTTAGTTGTGGTTGGACACAATACCTTTTACTTATTTATTTTTATGTGGCGCTGAGGATCGAACCCAGGTCCCCGCACGTGCTAGGCAAGCACACTACCGCTGAGCCACAACCCCAGTCCCCAAATATTCTTGATATACTAAATATTCATAAGTCAATCAATATCCAGGAAGTCTTAAAAGGACCACCCACTGGTGATACCCTTGCAGGCTGCACTCCTCTCTGCCTGAGAAATGCAGATAAAATCCATAGCAACTACCAGATTAATTGGTGAGCTAGAACTAGAGCCAGGCATACTTGTTCCTATGTCTCCTGGAGCAAGTAAGTATGTGTTGGGTCTGGCACCAGGCACCTTTTGTCTACCAAGCCTCTTTGTTTAACCTCCACTCTGATCCTTGTAACTATTCTATCATCGGGAAAGAATGATGTAGCTGAGACTGGAGAAAGAGTATGAAGCTATGCACATTTCATAAATATATCACCCATTTGTACTCCATCCTCTCTTTTTTGGCTTTCATGCTGTGCATTCTTCCAATAGCCTTGTGATTTCAACAACTGAAGTCTCTCTGTGCAATGACCTCTGGGTTAGCCTGACTGGTTGTGTACTTGGAGGCTAATTTCCCACACCACACCCACTGGTTAGCTCAGAGACAGTGGGAAGGTGGGAAGGAATAGCAGATCACTATTTCTTCATCCATATTTGTGTGTTCTCCTTATATTGATTTATTTGTGAGTTTTAAAAATTAAGAAAATTTAAAATTTTGTGATCTTTAGTATGTGTATGAGTTGAATAATGACCTACTAGACAGAGCCAAAAACCCTGACATATTTAAAGGATTGTGGCCGTCAGGAAAAAATTCTTTCCTTAACAAGGTCAACTGGAACAACACCTTTTCCCTGTGCTGACCCTTGAGTCTACCCTGTCCTATTTGAAATACAAACACCAGCTTTGATCTCTGGGATGACATGGCTTCACTTTTCAACATGAGGCTGACTTTATAGATCAAGATCTATCTAATATTTCTCCAAGTTTTTTTTCTGTTGTCTTTTCTCATAAAGGAAAGGACCTGAAAGAAGAGAGTCTGCTTTTTTCCCTTATGTTCTCTTTTAAAAAGTTGTTTATTTACTAGTTTGATAGATCAGAAAAATGAGAATTCTCTTGTGACAGCTACCAACTGTGCACTCTATGAACCATTTAGTTTAAAATAATGCATTAGTAAGCAGGTATCTCCAGGTCACATCAAACAATAATCTGTCATTCTTAGAACAATAATCTCCTTCATCATTTTCATTTAAAACTTTAGCACTCACTACCTTTTGCTTTTATGTGTCGATATTGTAAATGAATCTATCAAGAGGCTGTGTTGTAGGCTTCAGGCACATTTCATGGGTTCCTGGAGAGGGTCTAGCAACTTAGTATTTCTTATTGTTTTAATTCTCCCCCAAAAGGGACTCCAAATTCTGAAGCTCCAAGACCTAAAAAGTTCTCATGAGTATGGTTTCATGGTTAGGAGGTTAACAACTGGATCTAAAAGAAGTCATCTTTTTCTTTTACTACCTAGTAATTTTGGATAGATTACATTAACTTTCAGCCTCAGTTTTCTTAGTTGTAAAATGGGAATATCATTACCTATACCCATAAGATCATGAAAAAGCTTAAATAGTACTTCATATATAATAAACATTCATAAATGTTAGCTTCCATTATTTTCTGCTCTTGCCAGAATAAACGCTGAGACCAGGATATGGCATCCCCTAGAGCCAGTCACAAGCTCACAAAAATTCTTGTTGAATGAATACTTTATGCAATCGACTACACTCTCCGCCCTCGCTGTACGTTTAACCAGAAATACAATTTAAATTGCATTCTTAGTGGGATACCCAGGATCTCTTCAGCAAAGCGCCAGATACCCCGCAGTGCCTTGCTAGGAGGGTGTTTTAGCCTCTGTGAGTTGGTGAAACTCACCACGTTCTTTCCCTCCCTTCTCTCCCAAGTCAACTGAGGACAGTCGATCAAGACTGTGACTTGAGACACTGTGATAGAGCGTTTATAGTGTTAGCCTTGTGTCTGGCTCTTAATAAGCGCTCAATAAATGATGGCTAGTACTATCTTCAGATCAGACGTCCCTCTACTCCCCATCTCAAGTCTTCTTCCTCGCCGTGGCCTGAATTTTTTGCATGGGGAGAAGGGGTCTCGGTCGGAAGCCTGTGTGGGTGGGTGGGTAGGTGCTGGTGGTGGTGATAATGGCCGGGCGGGCTGGAACCTCGACCTCCGCTTTCCCCTTCTTAGTGCGCTTCCCAGCCGGGTCGGGTCCCGGGTCCCCCGGGGCCGCCAGGGCGGGCGGGAGGCCGGGAGGAGGAGGCCGACGCATCCGCCGCCGCCGCAGGAGGCGGAGCGCTGCACCTGGCGGACGGTCCTCGGCGCTCGGCCCTGAATCGGGTCCAGCCGGTAGTGAACGACTGCAGCGACCGTGAGGACCCAGCACCAAGAAGAGCAGCTGCTGGAGA